CCTCCCCCCCTCTCTCTCTCCCTTTGAAAGTGAACACCTCTCACCTGCAGGGGAACCCACCTAGCCCGTGTGCCGCCTAAGGTGAAGCAGGTTCAGGAGACCGCGGACCATTACTTGTACACAAAGACCTTTTGTTCTGGAGGGTCCTGGCTAATGTGTACAAACTCGTATGAAGTATGAGGTCCATGAGGGTTATGTTGGGTGTGTGGGGATGTGGAAGGGGTATGAGAATGTGGGAGATTATAGGATGTGGAAGGTGTATGAGAATGTGGAAGATGTATGAGGATGTGGAAGGTGTATGAGGTGGGAGATGTATGAGATGGGATGATGATGAGGAAGGTGTATGAGGATGTGGGAGATGTATGAGGATGGCGGATGTATGAGAATGTGGGAGATGTATGAGGATGTGGAAGGTGTATGAGAATGTGGAAGGTGTATGAGGATGTGGAAGGTGTATGAGGATGTGGAAAGGTGTATGAGGATGTGGAAGGTGTATGAGAATGTGGGAGATGTATGAGGATGTGGAAGGTGTATGAGAATGTGGGAGATGTATGAGATGTGGAGGTGTATGAGGATGTGGGAGATGTATGAGGAATGTGGAGGTGTATGAGGATGTGGAAGGTGTATGAGGAGTGGGAGATGTATGAGGATGTGGAAGGTGTATGAGGATGTGTGGAAGGTGTATGAGGATGTGGAAGGTGTAGGATGGGAGAATGTTGGAAGGTGTATGAGGATGTGGATGAGGATGTAATGAGAATGTGGGAGATGTATGAAGGATGTGGATGTGTATGAGGAATGTATGGAAGATGTATGAGGATGTGGAAAGGTGTATGAGGATGTGGAAGGTGTATGAGGATGTGGAAGGTGTATGAAGGATGTATGAGATGTATGTATGAGGATGTGGAAGGTGTATGAGAATGTGGGAGATGTATGAGGAATGTATGGATGTGGGAGATGTATGAGGATGTGGGAGATGTATGAGGATGTGGAAGGTGTATGAGAATGTGGGAGATGTTGTATGAGGGATGTGGGAGATGTATGAGGATGTGGAAGGTGTATGGATGTGGGGATGTGTGAGGATGTGGAAGTGTATGAGAATGTGGGAGATGTTATGAGATGTGGAAGTGTATGAGAATGGGAGATGTATGGATGTGAGGTGTATGAGAATGTGAGGAGATGTATGAGAATGTGGGAGATGGATGAGGGGTGTGTATGAGAAGGTGTATGAGAATGTGGGAGATGTATGAGGGTGGGAAGGTGTAATGTGGGGAGATGTATGGAGGGTGTGGAAGGTGTATGAGGATGTGGGAAGGTTATGAGGATGTGGAAGGTGTATGAGAATGTGGGAGATGTATGAGGATGTGGAAGGTGTATGAGAATGTGGGAGATGTATGAGGATGTGGGAGATGTATGAGGATGTGGAAGGGGTATGAGAATGTGGGAGATGTATGAGGATGTGGGAGATGTATGAGGATGTGGAAGGTGTATGAGAATGTGGGAGATGTGTGAGGATGTGGAAGGTGTATGAGAATGTGGGAGATGTATGAGGTGTGGGAAGATGTTGGAGATGTGAAGGGTGTATGTGTGAGGATGTGGAAGGTGTATGAGAATGTGAAGGGATTGAGATGTAAGTATGAGGATAGGGTGTGTGTATAGAGATGTATGAGGATGGAAGGTGTATGAGGATGTGGAAGGTGTATGAGAATGTGAGCTTGTATGAGGGATGTGGAAGGTGTATGAGAATGTGGGAGGATGTGTGGGATGTGGAAAGGCGTATGAGATGTGGGAGATGTATGAGAAATGTGGAAGGATGTATGGAGAAGTGTATGATGGGAATGTGGAAGATGTATGAGATGTGGAAGGATGTGATGTATGAGGATGTGGATGTATGAGGATGTGGAAGGTGTATGAAGAAATGTTGGGAGATGTATGAGATGGTGGAGTTGTATGAGGATGTGGGAGTATGTATGAGAATGTGGAGACGTATGAGAATGTGGGAGATGTTGAGGATGTGGAGGTGTATGAGAATGTGGGGATGTATGAGGATGTGGAGGTGTATGAGAATGTGGGAGATGTATGAGGATGTGGAAGGTGTATGTGGGAATGTATGATGTGGGAGATGTATGAGAATGTGGAGATGTATGAGGATGTGGAAGGTGTATGAGAATGTGGAAGGTGTATGAGAATGTGGGAGATGTATAGGTGTGGAAGTGTATGAGAATGTGGAGATGTATGAGGATGTGGGAATGTATGAGGATGTGGAAGGTGTATGAGAATGTGGGAGATGTATGAGGTGTGGAAGTGTATGAGAATTGGGAGGTATGATGTGGAAGGTGTATGAGGATGTGGAAGGTGTATGAGAATGTGGGAGATGTATGAGGATGTGAGAGGACGTATGAGAATGTGGAAGGTGTATGAGGATGTGGGAGATATATGGGGATAAGAATATGATGGTGTGAATAATTGGGGTGTAGATGATGAAGGTATAATGCATAATCATTATGATATAGGTATGAGAAATGACAAGTACAATATATGAGTCGATAAGACAATTGATAATTAATAATGTAACGTTTATGAATATCATTATGTAACGCACATATAATGATGATAAGTGGATAATTAGTAAAGTAGATATAAGTAAATATCGTGAATATGATGAGGAGAATATGAAGAATATGATATATAAGAAAATATAAAGATGGGTAGTAGAGGGGGAGGGGAGGGGGTGGGGGAGGGAGTTACCGCGGATTATAGAGACAAATCTATATTTTTTCACTTTTTCTGTCTTTATTTTACCCTCTCTTATGGTCCCTTGACCTTCACAACACATCATAAACAGATAAAATGCAGTGTGGTGTTTTTTTTTCTTCGCACCACAATTTTTTTTGTCTGTGTGTGTGGTTATGGTGTTGGTGAATCAGTGGCGTTTTAATTTGTGTGTGTCTATTGTCTATTTCTTGTCTGTTGTGTATTAATACTAGCGCATCACAAAAGACTAATGGTAATGTTTATTCGTGTTTATAACTTCAATTTTTACGACTGATAGATAAGAATTTCAATAAATTATATCACATAACTTGCCTGATCAAATAGAAAAAAAACTAATTTGCATATTTTTTTAACAAAATATCAAACATTAACCCATAATTACAGCTTCGTTATCCTTACAACTAAAAACACTTATTAATTACTATAATTATTACCTCTTCGTCGGTTACCTATTACTTATTTTATCCTCCCTTTTCTCTCTTCTCTCTGTTTTATCAAATTCTTTACTTAGATAACAGAAATAACAACTACAACTACAATAAAGATACGAAGTCATGCATGTTCTTCTTCTTTCTTTGTCATATTTTGGCTAAAACGAACTTAAAAAAACAATAAGGATAATTACAACAACAACAAGAACAACAGAAAATATACGAAATACATACTTTCCTTAATTACAACAATGAATATACAAACAACAACAATAATTGCAACAACAATTATGGAAAAACAATACATGACAACAAAATATTCAATAAACAATAATTACAACAACAATTATGAAGAAAAACAAACAATAACAACAAATAATAACATAAATACACAACCATAACAACAATCACAACAAAAAATATACAAACAACAATAACAACAACAACAAACAACAGAGACAAGAAAATCACAACACAGATTTTTCCTTCTTCTCTTTTGTCTTCTTTTCTTTTTCTTCTCTCTTCCTTCCTACCAAATCTTGCACTGAGTTGCCACTTAGGGATAAAAAGAACATCATTTTGTCTTGCCTCGTGTCCCCTGCAATTGCCTCAAGCCACACACCCGACGGGAAGCTAAAAGGTATCCGCACGTACTCATAGCCGCTAGAGGTATCCATCAGTAACAGCAGATATCACGGTTTACAAGTGCTTATAAGTGATAGAGTATCCACATTAACAATAGGTTTCCACAGGGGTTTACAAGTGCTTATAAGTGGATAGAGGTATCACACGTAACAGCAGATATCCACAGGGGTTCACACGGGCTTATAAGTGGAGAGAGGTATCCACACGTAACAAAACACATGTTCACAAGAGTTCCAACGTGCTTATAGTGATAGAGGTATCCGCACGTAACAGCAGTATCCAAGGGCTCCACACGGGCTTATAAGTGATAGAGGTATCCACACGTAAAAACAATGTTCACAAGAGTTCACACGTGCTTATAAGTGGATAGAGTATCCGCACGTAACAGCAGTATCCAAAGGGGCTCACACGGGCTTATTAAGTGGAGAGAGGTATCCACAGGGATTCACACTACTTATAAGTGGAGAGAGGTATCCACACGTAACAACAGTATCCACAGGGGTTCACAAGTGCTTATAAGTGGAGAGAGGTATCCACAGGGATTCACACTACTTATAATGGAGAGAGGTATCCACACGTAACAACACATACCCACAGGGGTTCACACGGGCTTATAAGTGGATAGAGGTATCCACAGGGATTCACACGTAATTATAAGTAGACAGAGCCACACACCCGACGGGAAGCTAAAAGGTATCCGCACGTACTCATAGCCGCTTAGAGGTATCCACACGTAACAACACATATCCACAGGGGTTCACACGTGCTTATAAGTAACAATACATATCCACAAGGGTTCACACGTACTTATAAGTGGATAGAGGTATCCACACGTAACAACAGATATCCACAGGGGTTCACAAGTGCTTATAAGTGGATAGAGATATCCACACGTAATAACATATACCCACACGTATCTATAAGTGGCTAGATGTATCCATACGTAACAACACATACACACAAGGGTTCACACGTACTTGTAAGTGGCTTGATGTATCCACACGTAACTTGATATATCCACACAAGGGTTCAAACGTACTTATAAGTGGCTAGAGGTATCCACACGAAATAACACATACACACACGTACTCATAAGTTACTAGATGTATCCACACTTAAAAACACATACCCACAGGCTTTCACAAATATCCATAAGTGGCTAGGTGGATATCCATATTCATCCACACGTACACACACACTTGTCCTCAGATAGATAAGAGGTATCTACTCATAAACCGAGATAGATACCAATACCAACAGAGTACACAGATTCCCACACACATAGCAGATACCCACAGCGGTCAAAGGAATCCACAGAATACCCACAGGCGACCGCAAATACCCGCAGACAGTAAAGGGAATCTGGACGTATCCTCACGTACCCACAGGAGGCCACATGCATCCGTCCATCCCTTTAGGACTTAGGAAAGACGTTCAAAAGTGCGACATTCTGTGAGAAGGAGGAGGGAGGAGGGGAGGGGAGAGGGAGGCGAGGCAGGAAAGAGAGACGGAAAGCGGAGGAAGGAGGAGCGCGCCGAGGGAGAGGAGGGTAGGGAGGGAGGAAGGAGGGAGGACGGAGGAGAGGGAGGGAGTAGACCGGGAGGAAGGAGGGACGGGACGGGGTGCGAGGGAGCGAGGAGGGAGGGAGGCAGGGAGGGAGGAGGGAGGAGGGGAGGGAGGGAGGGAGGTTGAGTTTAAGGAGGGAGGAAGGAAGGAGGAGGGAGAGAGGGAGAGGAAGGAGGGAGGAGGGAAGAAGGAGGGAGGGAGGTTTGTAAGGAGGAGTAAGCAAGTGGCAGAAAAATAGACACCGAGGAGAAGGGAAACGCGCAGGCAGCCAAAAGGAGACAGAGCGGGACGACACAAGTTAAGATAGAGCAAGAGAATAAAGAGAGAAAGGACGGGACCGCGATGTGCCGACAGAGAAGAGAGACAGAACCGACACAGCGAGCAGGAAAGAGAAGAGCAGAGAGAAGAGAAACAGAAAGACCGACGACGACCGCGACAGGTGCGACCCGACGCCTGGCAGGCCAGGTGAGACCGCAGGAGCGCGGAAGGAGCTCGGGGAGCGACGAGAGAGGGGGAGAGAGACGGAGCACGCAGACGAGGGGCGAGGCAGAGCACGGGCGAGGAGACGCCCGCGACGGGAGAGCAGGCCTCGAGAGCGGCACGAACGAGAATACGACCGCCCGAGGAGCCGACGACGCACTGACGATCGACGAGAGAGACGCACACCGGGACGATGATGACGGACCGGTGAACCGACACCCGCAGACGGGACGAGCCGAGACGAGAGAGAGAGACCGTGACGAGACCGTCTGAGAGAGAGACAGAATGAGGAGAGAGGAGAGACCGAGAGGAGACGGAGAGACGGAGAGAAGAACCCGAGAGATGAGGAGCAGAGGCGAGCCAGTAGGAGACGCGAAGAGAGAAGAAGAGCAGAGAAGAGAGAGAATGAGAAAGAAACGAGAGAGCGGAGAGAGAGAGAGAGAGAGAGGAGAGAGCAGAGCAGAAAGAGCGAGGAAGCAGAGAGAAGAAAGACGACCGGAAAGACGAGGAATGAGAGAAGAAGAGAAGAGAGGCACAGAAAAAGAGATGAGACCGCGAGAGAACCCCAGGAGAGACTGAGAGGGAGATAATACCGACGAGAGAGAGAGAGACGAAGAAAACGAGGAAGAGAGAAGACGAGCAGAAGGATGATAGAGGGAGCCGAAGAGAAGAAGAACGAGGAGAGGGAGAAGACGCCAGAGAAAAGAGACAGAATGCAGGGAGGAAGAGAAAGAGCAGACGAAGAAGAAAAAGAACGAGAGAGAGAGACGGAAGAACCGAGAGGAGAGCGGAGGAGAGAAGAGATAGAAGAGAGAGAGAAGGAGCGAGAGAGAGAGAGAGAGAGAGAGACGAGAGAGAGAGAGAGAGAGAGGAGAGAGGAGGAAGAAGAGAGAAGAGAGTAAAGACGAGGAGAGAAGGAGAGAGAGAGATGAGAGAGAAGAGAGAGAGAGAGGAGAGAAGAGAGAGCGAGAGAGAGAGCGAGAGAGAAGAGAGAGAGGGAGAGAGAGAGAGAGAGAGAAGAAGAGAAGAAGCGAGAAAGAGAGAAAGAGAGAGAGAGAGAAAAAGAGAGAGAGAGAGAAAGAGAGAGAAAGAGAGAAGAGAAAGAAGAACAAAGAGAGAGCAGGCAGACAGACAGACAAACAGGACAGACAAACCCTCCTCCTCCCCCCCCCCTCCTCTCTCTCTCTCCTTTCTCTCCATACATCGCCAGCTGATCGGAAAAATACCTGAAACAAATTTATTACACATGTTATACAAATTGCATCATAATATCATATACATCTAATAAAAAAAGATATTACTGATCATAAAACATAAGACAATCACAGATAGCAAATTTCCGACACGATAGAAGTAGTAAAATATATAGGAATAAGCTATAGTTTATCATTTGTTACTTAGAAGAAAAAAAATCGTGATGTTTGCTGTCTCATCCGCCAGAGGTCAGGTGGGGGCGCGTGTGTGGAAGGGGATCCCAGATTGCACTGTGTTGACCCCTTCTCTCCCTCTCTTCCTCTCCTCCCTCTCTTACTCTCTCCCTCCCTCCTTCGCTCTTTTCACTCTTTCTCCATCTTCTCCCTCCTCTTACTCTCTCCCTCCTCCCTTT